ATATATATATATATATATATGTATATACGTACCTACATATATAACTATACATTCATACGCGCATACATGCAATTCTGGAGAAAAAAAAAAAGCACTTCGAAGAGCATATGGTATTCGATTGCATGTTAAAATACAGTGTGTTAGCATCGTGGCATATTCCAAATACCGCGTAGTATGAGGCAACGTAGGTGGTAACGCTATGTAAGTGGCAACGATCTGCGATGAGAGGTTATGATGTGGGGTCAGAGACGAGATGGGCACATCACGCAATATGGAGGCGAGACGAAACGAGGCGAGCATCAAATAGAAGTTGCAACCGAATACTTAATCATCAACCGCACGACCAAATCAAGGAGTAGACGAAAAGAGAGAGAGGAGGAAAGACGGCAAAAGACAAGAGACGCAAGACGGCACATCCGAATAACAATACCATAGAGACGTGCGGCAAATAATGCCGAACATACGTTTGGGGGGGCAAATCTGCCGTCGACCGCGAAGCTCGCGAGAGGCATTCTGGGGGTTCCGGGCCAGTTCGGGGAAAATTATGTTGGGAGCCCGTTGGCAGGCTGATTTCTTGCCTGGTGCACCTACTGCATAATTGCTGCTCGAGCTTGAGAACTGACACCCAGAGAAAAAGACCACCGAACGCGCCGGTGTTCTGCACGAAAGCACCGCTCCAAATTTCTCGAGTGGTGACCCCCCTAGACATGACCTGGAAATCAGGGGCGCCCAGCTTCGCGCTGCGCGAAGCGCGGACAACTTCGCGCTCTCGCGCCGCCCCCCAGGGGAGAAGCGGAGAACGAGGAGGAATCGGAGCCGAACCGCGAAGCGCGAATAGCTTCGCGCCCTCGAGGGCGCCCTTGAGAACATCCACTTCTGGGTACCCATCGCGCCCCCCCTCTGAGGCCCACCCACCCCGCCCCCGTGGGGTAAGGCGCGCCGCCTCTGGCCGGGCCCCGCCGTACCCACCAGACAAGGCCGCGAGACCCTCTGGGCCAGGCCCCGCACACGCGCGCACGACCTGAAGTACATTTCGGCGACGAGCGAGGGGGGAAATGAGAAGGAGAAGGCCTTCGGAGAGGTTTTTTGTGTCTTCGGGGAAGGCTTAAACAATTTCTCAGAAGGCCGGGGGACCTCTGAGCCTTCCGAGAAGGCACGCCCCTTCGCACTTCCCCCCCTCGCTCGCCGCCAAAGATTGGCGTGAGTGGGCAGCCCTCTCTCTGCTACGGGCACGAGACGGGGACGCCCCTGACGTGCCGGCCGCTCCCGAGTATGCCCCTCTCCTCTTCGAGTGCTCCTCGCGACATATCAAGTCAAGGTCAAGATACGTAAGCACACTGAGCACGCATGCAGCGCAGTGGGGTGGCAGCAACGAGCTCAGTATGCGAGAATCGCCCAACACAGTCCTCCAACAGGCACCAAGTCGCGCCGATAGGTACTCCTGGGTTGGGCTTAGGTTTCGGCTTGGCCCCGACACAGGATCGCCCCCGCTTTCGCCAGCCCGACTGCGTGAGGAAGCAAGGGATTAGCAGCAAGAATTGCCTGAACGAAGGAGAACACGAAGAAAATATGGAAGCTTGAGTAGGAAAGAACGTTTCGTCCGCAGGGTGCCGCTCAAAGGGTAGAGGGGCGGCAATAGGGGAATGGCGAAGGGGAGAGGGTGGAATGAGAAGAGGGAAACAAGGGGGCGGGGGAGAGCTAAGGGTGCAAAGACCCACTCTTCCTCTTACTCCTCCTCCTCCTCCTCCTCCTCCTCCTCCTCCCCCTCCTCCTCCTCATCCCCCTCCCCCTCCTCCTCCCCCCCTCCCCCTCCTCCTCCTCTCCTCCTCCTCCTCCTCTCTCCTCCTCCTCCTCCTCCTCCTCCTCCTCCTCCTCCTCCTCCTCCTCCTCCTCCTTCACTTCACTTCACTTCACTTCACTTCACTTCACTTCACTTCACTTCACTTCACTTCACTTCACTGCACTCACCCATCCAAGCAATGTTCCAACATGTCTCTCTGCTGCTCCGGGCACGCCTTGAGTCCGGCACATCAAAACTGACGGATCGGCGTCGCCCAGGAGCCGCGACACAGCACGACTCAGGTCGGTCGGAACACCTGCTGCCCGCGGGGGGAGTGGCCCACAGAGGCAGAGCCCAAAGGCCCACCCCACCTCACCCCAGGACCCACGGGCACGCAGGGACCCAGCAGCAGCCTCGCGTGAGCCACCCCCCCCGAGCAACTCTGGACCCCCCAGAACGGCATCCACAGCCGCCCACGGAGTCAACGGGCCGAACAGGCCAGGGCACTTTTCTCCAGGACCCGAATTTGCAAGTAAAACGTTTTCAAGTTTGATGGACTGGATTTCGCAGCCCAGGGCAAAAAAACGGGTCGGGCCACTTTCTCCCAAGACCTTTGGCCAGGGCACCCCTGGAAGCACGACTTAGCTTTCCAGTCCCACTCGCCGCCATCAGAATGTGCACAAGGACTGTCATGATATCTACAAGCTTATGCTTCTGGATCGCGGGCAACTCCATCGGGCTCCTCTGAAATATCTTTTTTCCACGGAGGATCGGTAGGGGCCCCTCCCCACGCGTCGGCCTGCTGCTGATTGAGATCTTGCGCGGTTTCCACGCCCCTTCCCACCAGCACGTGACCTCGAAGACAGAGTGTGAGCCTCATCGCCTTGGAATCGAACGTGTTCAAACACACGCATTCTTTGATCCACGTCGACGCATCCTCTGGGGTCCCCTTCTCCATCATCGTGCGGATCCGCTGGCCGATACCCTACTTACGCAATTCTAGGGGGCAGTCGGCCTGACTCACGAAGTTGTCTTTACCTAATACAACCAATCCAAACACATGAAGTTCTGGAGGCCCCAGCTCGTGCACCTTCCTCTTCTTCTCCAAATCCTTTAGATACTTTTGGTACTCGGCCAAACCCAACTCCTCCTCCTCCTCATCATCATCATCTTCCTCCTCCTCCACCTCCTTCTATCTATCATCCCAGTCACCATCAACAACATCATCCACATCATCATCACCACAACCATCGGCATCTCAATCATCGCAATCATCGTCTCAACATCGTCAACACCCCCACCAGCACAATCATTGTCCCATCCTCATCATCATTGCCGTCGTCGCATCATCAGCATCATCATCATCATCATCATCATCATAATCATCATCATCATCATCATCATCATCATCATCATCATCATCATCATCATCATCATCATCGTGAGCATCATCATCAGCACAATCGCCATACCAACACTATTATCATACATCCCCGGGCCGGATGTTTTCTTCCTGTTGCATGGGAACGCATGGATCCATTTGGATCAAATTACGTGTGTGCGAGTCACGTGGATCCAATTTCTGTGTCTTCTGGATCTAATTTTTTGGCGTGGAAGCTTCGTGGATCCAATTATTTTGCTGGAATAGATTTATAGTAACAATTAATACAAGGGACCCACGGGGAAATGGATCCACGGAGCCTTGGACCTGCAGCCCAAGCTACGATTCTACGGGGGAGGGGTTTCCCGAACATGTCGATGCGCGAGCGCCACAGCTGCCCCGGCCAACTCCCGCAGCCTCAATAACATGTGGGTGCTCGAGCGCCACAGCGGGCCTGGCCAACTCCCGCAGCCTCCCATAACACACGCCGCACCCCACCTCGACGAGAGCGCGATATGATCGCTGCGTCCGCATCCGCTACAGTCAACGACACTTCGCATTTGTCATGTGGGCCTCAAGAGGAAAATCTTCCGGCCTGCTCAAGTATAATCATCAGCATCAGCATCAGCATCAGAATCGTCATCGTCATCGTCGTCGCCCTCGCCATCATCATCACCAGCAGCAGCATCATCATCGTCATCGTCATCATCGTCATCAGCATCATCATCAGCAGCATCTCATCGGCATCGTCATCGTCATCAGCATAAAAAGAATCATGTTCAGCATCAGCATCATCAGCAGCCTAATCGTCAGCATCATCATCAGTATCGGCATCATCATCATCATCATCACCATCATCATCATCATCATCACCACCACCACCACCACCACCATCATCATCATCATCATCATCATCATCATCATCATCATCATCATCTCATCGTTATCGTCATCGTTATCAACATCCGCATCATCATCAGCATCAGTAGCATCATCATAACCATCATCATCAGCAGTATGGTCATCATCATCGTCGTCGCCATCGTCATCAATGGCATCATCATCATCATCAAGCTAAACATCATCATCATGATCAGCATCAGCATCAGCATTGTCATCATCATCGTCATCGTCATCGTCATCGCGCGTCATCGTCATCGTCATCGTCATCATCATCATCATCATCATCATCATCATCATCATCGTCAACATCAGCATCATCATCAACATCATCAGCATCACCATCAGCATCACCATCATCGTCACACTCATCCGCCTCCTTCCCCTTACCCCCCCCCCTCCCATTCACCTAATCCTGAGCCTCCTAACTCATTGATCCACCAGAAGGCTGCGGACAAATATTGGAGCGGGAGGCGGAGGGAACGGGGAGGAATAGGAGGAGGCTGGGGACGGAGGCAAGGACGGACAGGAGAAGAAGGGCGGAGGGGAAGGGCAGGGGAAAGGGTGGAAAGGGATAGGGGAGGCGGAAGGGAAGGGGGAGTGGGGGGCGAGAAGCCAGAATAGGGAGAAGGGGGATGGGAAGGATTGAGTGAGGACGGGGGTGGTGGACGACAACGACGGCAACGACAACGACGACGACGACGACGACGACGACGACGACGACGACGACGACGACATCACGACGACGACGACGACGACGACGACGACGACGACGACGACGGCGACGACGACGACGACGGCGGCGCCACCGCCGTCGCCGCCGCCGCCTGCCGCGGCGCCGATGACGGCGAAGGCGACGACGACGGCGACGACGGCGACGGCGACGGCCGCGGCGACGGCGGCGGCGGCGACGGCGGCGACGACGGAAACGACGGCCGCCTCGACTCGATGCATCGAGAGCCACTCGTACTGCAGCAGCAGGCCGGGGGAGTCGGACGGGCTGCATGCCGAGGCCCAAGTTTCGTCCGAGAGGCCCTCCTGGGAGGGAGTTAGGAGGGATGCAATGAGGGGGAGGGGGATGGAGAGGGGGAGGGGGGAGCAGGGGTCAACACATCTATTTTCCTCCTCCAACTCATAATCATCATCATCAGCAGCAGCATCTTCACCATCGCCACCACCATCATAACCATCAGCATCATCATCACCATCAGCATCATCATAATAATCATCACCACCACAACCACCATCAGCATCAGCATCATCATCATCATCCTCATCATCATCATCAGCAGCAGCATCACCATCACCACCACCACCACCATCACCATCATCAGCAGCAGCATCATCATCATAACCAGCATCATCATCATAATCACCATCATCATCATCATCCATGATCGTCATCATCATAGTCACCATCAACAGCACCACCACCGCTACCATCATCGACATCATCATCGTCGTCGTGGTCGGCACTGTAACAAGAATAATCATAATTCTAACCACCATCATCCGCAGAAGCAACAGCAGCATTGTCATCGTCATCATCATCGCCATCGCCATCGCCCTCTTTGTCATCATCGTCAGCAGCAGCATCATCATGATCATCCGCATCCTCACCATCATAAATTGATATCGACATTGAGGGGAAAAAGTAGACTCCAAACGCGCTGAAAATGCAACACCATAAAACCCATGAATACTTGTTCCGCATCCTGGTCAGTTTTTCCATCATCAACATCATCATCCACATCCTCATCCACATTCTCCTCGTCATCATGATCATCGTCAGCAATCATCATCAGCATCACCAGCATCATCATCAGAATTTGTTTTCTCTCGCCAATGGGCAGTCGCGCAGCCACAGCAACAACGACTAAATTGGACCGCTCTGCCACCATGCTAAACGGCACGGACCGCTGGCGGCGAGTAAATGCAAGCTAAAGATGCAGGCCAACTCACGACGCCAATCATCGTCCTGCTCACGAGGTCAGTCGTCATCCTTTGGGATCTTGGGGAAGTCCTTCTGCTTGATGAGGAAGGCCGGCACCCCGCCGCAGTGGGCTGCTGGCTCATATATCAGGGGGGCCTCCCATGGACGCGCACGGGTTGTGCCTTGGTGCCATGTCGGGAGGTGCATGGGTAGACATCGGGCAGGTCGTCCATCGTGGGGCGGTGCTTGGTGCTGGCTTTGCAACGGGCACGATGGCGGTGGCCCCGATCTGCTGGCAGTGCGGGAAATCTTGGGCCCTCCTGTCCTTCGGCGGCGCGAAGGCAGGTGGCCTCCTATCGATAGGGTCTACCGAATGCCCAGTGGGACATATGCTGTGGAATCCTGGCATCTGTGTGAAGCCTGCGAAAATGAGCTGATCGTCGTACCCAAAGTCAAGGTTGAACTTGTAGGTTTGCCGCGCTTCCTCCAGCTGCTTGTCTACACCTGTCTTGAGCTCTTCGGGTATCCTGTCGTAGTCGGTCATACTGATCACGAACAGGTTGTCGTGTACGTTGACCTGTTTTGGTGGCTCCCAGGGCGTAGTATCGTTTGTCGGCCTGACGATGTGAGTAGAGTCCCTGCATGGTATCAGCTCCATGTCCACATTTCCTGTGTTATCGATCGCCCATTTCGTGATGATGTTGCCGATTTCGTCCGTTCTGTCGTTCGCCACATCATTATACACTGCTACTGATCCACATCCAGCGTGTCGCAATACAACGAAATCAGCTGGCAATGCTTGTACGATCAACCCTATGATGAGGACGCACGATAAGGGTGCAAGGGCCTTGGAAGGCCATGTCGACACCTTGTGATCGGGGTGCGGCCAGCGAAACTGGCCAAGGATGGGCCGAAGGGGAAGGATGCAAGGGTAACCTTGGAAAGCCGCCCACCCGTACTTTGCGCGTTGACTGTACGTTGCCGGCACCTGAGCATTGGGAATCTGGGTCCCAATGGTAGTCTGCGCGACGCACTGTAGCGGTCCATGTGGTTGATCTCGTCCTGGTTGCAGCGATTGATCGGCACATGGTCTCCCGTTGGGTACCCTGGCAGCGTGTGGAGGTCTTCCGTGGTCTGGGGCTGATGGATGTCTTGGGGGATGATGCAGACGTCGGTCGTTGGGTGCATGGCTTTGGCGCCCATGGTCTCGATGACGTCCCCCAGGTACATGCAGACGGTTCTGGCCTCTGACGGTGTCAGTACGTGGTAGTCCTCCTCCTCCTCCTCTTCCTCCTCCTCCTCCTCCTCTCCCACCACCCGTCCTCGCCTTCCTCCACTGCATCCTCCTCCTCCTCCTCCTCCTCCTCCTCCTCCTCCTCCTCCTCCTCCTCCTCCTCCTCCTCCGCCTCCCTCTTCCTTCTTCTCCCCCCTCGTTTTTGCGTTTCGCGCTCCACGAGCGCACCTTCGCCCGCCGAAGCGCCCGACCGCCGCAGGCGCGGCGGGGCGCACTCAGGGACCGGCGAACGAGCGAGAGCAGGCGGCGGCAGCCCAAGCCAGCAGCGAATCTTCCCCCCTCCCTCCCCTTCTCCTCCCTCTCCCGCCCCGGCAGCGACGGCGACGTCGTCCTGCTCCAGCGCCTCGTCGTCGGAGTCGTCCAGGGAGAAGACCTCCAGCGCGACCTCGACGCCGGGGCGGCGCGCCGCGGCACCCGCGATCAGGTCCAGCACCTCCGCGACAGGGCAGCGGCAGCGCGCTGCGCGCGCGACGCCCGCGACGCCCGCGCGGATGGGCCGCGACGGTCCGGGCCACGGCGGCGCGGCGGAGCGGCGGAGCGGCGGCGGTCCGGGAGAGGCAGGCCTCATCCACCTCTTCATCCTCGCTCCTCGCTGCTCGCTCCACCCCCACCACTACCCCCACCACCATCACTATCACCATCACCATCATCACAATCACAATCACCATCACCATCATCATCATCATCAGCAGCAGCATCATCATCACCGTCAACATCACCATCACCATCACCAGAATCATCATCATCATCATCATCATCATCATCATCATCATCATCATCATCATCATCATCATCATCATCATCATCATCATCATCATCATCATCATCATCATCATCATTGCGCATTTCATCGCGCGGCATCCCCCAACGCGCCTGGTGACGGCGGCGCGCCCGAACTCGTAAAATGCACATATTTGTTCTCAACTTGTCTGTCGATGCTTGCCCCACGCTACTGTCTCGGGTTAGGGACACGGGTGACGTGAAGGGCACAGAAAACGAGGTATGCGAAGACAAACTGTTCTCCCACTTCGCGACGACAGAGACGACGGCAACGACGACCACACCGACGACCACCACAATGACGACGACGACCACGACGACATCGAAGACGAAGGCGACCTCGACGACGCCCATGACGACGACGACGACCACCACCACCACGACCACGACCACGACGACGACCACGACCACGACGACGACGACGACCACGATCACGACCACGACCTCGACCACGACCACGACCTCGACCACGACCACGACCACGACCACGGCGACGGCAATGGCCCGCCGGCGGGCCGAGAAGCCTCGTAGCAGCACTCGATGTCGTAGCGGCCCTCCAAGGGAGAGCCGCACGCCGAGGAGGCCTCTCGCTGCGGCCACGACGGGAGACGGCGACGACGACAACGACGACAGAGACGACGACGACGACCACGACAACGATCACGACAACCGCAAGGACGACCAAGACGACGACGATGACGACGACGACGACGACGACGCGACGACGACGACGACGACGACGACGACCACGACGACGACGACCACAACCACGACCATGACGACGACGACGACGACGACGACGACGACGACGACTAAGACGACGACCACGCCGACCACGGCGACCACAGCGACAACGGCCACGGCGACGCTGACCACGGCGGCGACGTTTCGTCGACAGCGTCGCCCGACGCCCGTCGTCAGCAACATCATGGTCGCCGACTTCGCCCGTCGCGCGTCGTCGGCGTCGCCCATCGCCCATCATCGGCAGCGTCGTGGTCGCCGTCGTCGTCGTCGCCTGTCGCGCGCCGTCGGGGTTGGCGTCGCCCGTCGTCGGCGCCCGTCGTGGTCCTCGTCGTCGCCCTTCGCCTCGTTGTCGCCTGTCGCCCGTCGCCCGTCGTCGGCAGCGTCGCCAGCGTCATCGCCCGTCGTGGGCGTCGTCAACGCCTGTGGCCGGCAGCGTCGTTACAGCCGTCGTCCACTCCTCCTCGCCATGCTGCTGCTGCTGCTCAACCTTCTCCCCTCCTCATCGCCTCCCCATCCTCACCTTCCTTTTCGCCTCGTCGTCCTGCCCCATCCCCGCCTCGACCCCACCATCAACACCACCACCACCATGAACGTGACCATGATCATCAGCACCATCATCATCATCATCATCATCATCATCATCATCATCATCATCATCATCATCATCATCATCATCATCAGCATCATCATCGTAATCGCCATCGCCATCGTCATCGTCATCGTCATCGTAATCGTCATCATCATCAACAGCATCATCGTCGTCATTACCATTATCAATATCACCATCATCATCATCATCATCATCATCATCATCATCGTCATCATCGTCATAATTATCAGCATCACCATCATCATCGTAAGCATCAGCATCAACATCATCAGCATCAACATCAGCATCATCATCCTCATCATCATAATCGTCATCATCCTCATCATCCTCATCATCATTCTCATCATCATCACCATTATCATCGACATCCTCATCCTCGTCCTCATCCTTATCTTCATCACCACCACCTTGACCATCACCTGCATCCTCCGCCTGCTCTCGCACCTCCATCGCATCTTTCTTCTTTCCTCTGCCCCTCCTCGTCGCCCTCTACCGACCTCCTCTTCCTCATTTTCCTGTCCCTGCTCATCCTTGCCATGTTCCGTCTCCTCCCCCTCCACAGCCTCCTCTTCCTCCTCCTCCATTCCTTCTCC